GAATTAATGATTGATTGACTGGTTGATTAACTGGGAATTAATGACTGATTAACCAGGAATGATTGATTGATTGGGAATTAATGAGTCATTGATTGGTTAATCAACTTGGAATTAATGATTGATTAACCAGGAATGATTGATTGATTGATTGGCTGGGAATTAACGAGTCATTGATTAACTGGGTATTAATGATTGATTGATAGATTAACTGGGAATTAATAAGTGATTGATTAATTAATTAACCAGGAATTAATGATTGGTTGATTGATTAAGCAGGAATTAATGATTAACCAGGAATTAATGATTGATTAACCAGAAATGATTGACTGATTAAGCTGGAATGATTAACCGGGAATTAATGATGATTAACCGGGAATTACCCGCTGGAATGCCACAGGGGTTTAACTGGGAATAATTAACAGGGAATAATTAACCGGGAATTAACCAATGGAATGCCGGGAATTAACCGGGAATTCCAAAGGGAAAGGGGGGTGGGGATCCGTGGGAATTCCCAGGGATTTTGGGATGGGGATTCCTGGGATTTTGGGATGGGCTCCAGGAACATCCCAGGGAAAATGGGATGGACGCTGGGAATTCCTGGGAAAACAAGACTGGGACCAGGAATTTCCGGAGGAAGCGGGATGGAATTTCCTGGGAATTCCCAGGAAAGCCAGATTTGTTCCCAAAGGAAGGCCGGGTCTGCCCAGGGAACCGGGATTTGGGGATTTTGGGATGGGAATCGGGGATCGGATCCCGCTGGGATTTGGGATTTGGGGATTGGGTTCCACTGGGATTTGGGGATCGGATCCCGCTGGTTCCCAAGGGAATTCCCGAGGAAGCGCCGGTACCTTCCTGAGGACGTGCTTGGGATCTCCGGGAAGGATCAGGACGATTTTCCCATCCCAGAATTCCGCCACCACGCGCTCCTGCTTCCAGCCCTGCCGGGAAAAGCCCAAATTCCCGCTGGGATCAGCCAGGGCCGGCGTTCCTGGCTTTCCCACTCCCACCATTCCCAGCAACTCCTGCCAGTCTCATTCCCACTGTTCCCATTCCCACCATTCCTGGCATTCCTGCTTTTCCCATTCCTGCCACTCCCGCCATTCCCAGTCCTGCTATTCCCATTCCCGCTGTTCCGCCCTTCCCCGCTATTCCCATCCCTCCGGCATTCCCATTCCCGTCGTTATTCCAGGCTGACCGGGAATGGCCATTCCCATTCCCGCCATCCCTGCCATTCCCAGCTTTCCCATTCCTGCCACGTCCATTCCCATTGTTCATTCCCAGCTGCCCGGGAAGCGGAGCCGCTGCCGCAGCCATTCCCATATTCCCGTTCCCCCATTCCCATTCCCGCTGTTATCCCGGGGCTGACCGGGAAGGGCGAGCGCTGCCGGATCCATTCCCGTTCTCCCATTCCTGTTCCCATTCCCATATTCCCATTCCCATTCCTGCTGTTTCCCCATTCCCGCTGTTATCCCGGGGCTGACCGGGAAGTGCGAGCGCTGCCGGATCCATTCCCGTTCTCCCATTCCCATTCCCGCTGTTATCCCGGGGCTGACCGGGAAGGCCGAGCGCTGCCGGATCCATTCCCGTTCTCCCATTCCCATTCCTGTTCCCATTCCCATTCCCACATTCCCACTCCTGGCACTGACTGGGAATCACAGGCGCTGCCGTTCCCATTCCCGTTATTCCCGTTGTTATTCCCCCATTCCCGTTGTTATTCCCGTTTTTATTGGTCCTGTCACTGACCGGGAATTGGCGTCTCTGCCGTTCCCATTCCCACTGTTATTCCCATTGTTATTCCCCCATTCCCGCAGTTGTTATTCCCATTGTTATTCCCGGTGTTATTTATCCCGTCACTGACTGGGAATCGCGGGCGCTGCCGTTCCCATTCCTGTTATTCCCGTTCTTATTCCCCCATTCCCAGTGTTATTTATCCCGCTGTTATTCCCATCCCGTCACTGACCGGGAATCGGGGTCTCTGCCGTTCCCATTCCCATTATTCCCATTCCCCCATTCCCGTTGTTATTCCCGCTGTTGTTATTCCTGGTGTTATTTATCCCATCATTCCCCCCGTCACTGACCGGGAATCGGGGTCTCTGCTGTTCCCATTCCCATTGTTATTCCCATTCCCATTCCCAGTGTTATTCCCGGTGTTATTTATCCCATCATTCCTGTCACTGACCGGGAATCGGGGTCTCTGCCGTTCCCATTCCCATTGTTATTCCCCCATTCCCGGTGTTATTCCCATCATTCTCATCCCGTCACTGACCAGGAATTGGGGTCTCTGCTGTTCCCATTCCCATTGTTATTCCCCCATTCCCACTGTTATTCCCGGTGTTATTTCCAATCATTCCTGTCACTGACCGGGAATCGGGGTCTCTGCCGTTCCCATTCCCACTGTTATTCCCATTCCTGGTGTTATTCCCGCTGTCATTCCCCCTGTCACTGACTGGGAATCGGGGTCTCTGCCATTCCCATTCCCATTGTTATTCCCCCATTCCCGGTGTTACTCCCATCATTCCCATCCCGTCACTGACCGGGAATCGTGGTCTCTGCTTTTCCCATTCCCGTTATTCCCATTCCCCCATTCCCTGTGTTATTCCCGGTGTTATTTATCCCGTCATTCCCCCTGTCACTGACTGGGAACCGCGGTCTCTGCCGTTTCCATTCCCATTGTTATTCCCCCATTCCCGGTGTTATTCCCATCATTCCCCCTGTCACTGACCGGGAATCGTGGTCTCTGCTGTTCCCATTCCCACTGTTATTCCCCCATTCCCACTATTATTCCCGGTGTTATTTATCCCATCATTCCTGTCACTGACCGGGAATCGGGGACTCTGCCGTTCCCATTCCCATTCCCCCATTCCCGTTGTTATTCCCGCTGTTGTTATTCCCGCTGTTATTTATCCCATCATTCCCCCCGTCACTGACCGGGAATCGGGGTCTCTGCTTTTCCCATTCCCGTTATTCCCATTCCCCCATTCCCAGTGTTATTCCCGGTGTTATTTATCCCGTCATTCCCCCTGTCACTGACTGGGAACCGCGGTCTCTGCCATTCCCATTCCCATTGTTATTCCCCCATTCCCGCTGTTATTCCCGGTGTTATTTATCCCGTCACTGACCAGGAATTGGGGTCTCTGCTGTTCCCATTCCCATTGTTATTCCCCCATTCCCGCTGTTATTCCCAGTGTTATTTATCCCATCATTCCCATCACTGACCAGGAATCGGGGTCTCTGCCATTCCCATTATTCCCGTTCCCATTCCTGGTGTTATTCCCGCTGTCATTCCCCCTGTCACTGACTGGGAACCACGGTCTCTGCCGTTCCCATTCCCATTGTTATTCCCCCATTCCCGGTGTTATTCCCCGGTGTTATTTATCCCATCATTCCCGTCACTGACCGGGAATTGGGGTCTCTGCCATTCCCATTCCCGCTGTTATTCCCCCATTCCCGGTGTTATTCCCATCATTCCCATCCCGTCACTGACCGGGAACCACGGTCTCTGCCGTTCCCATTCCCATTCCCATTGTTATTTCCCCATTCCCGGTGTTATTCCCATCATTCCCCCCGTCACTGACCGGGAATCGCGGTCTCTGCCATTCCCATTCCCGCTGTTATTCCCAGTGTTATTTATCCCATCATTCCCGTCACTGACCAGGAATCGGGGTCTCTGCCATTCCCATTATTCCCATTATTCCCATTCCCGCTGTTGTTATTCCCGCTGTCATTCCCATCCCGTCACGGACCGGGAACCGCGGTCTCTGCCGGAGGCTGCGGTGGTGCCGCAGGTGCTGGAGCCGATCCTCGGGCAGGGCGGGGGAGAAGAGCATCCCGCAGGATCCGCAGCGCTCCGGGGACAGGGAACGCTGCCCCGCGTCCTGGGAACGACGGCGGAAAAACACCGAGCGTCGGCACGGATCAGAACACCGGGAATGAGCAGGGATCAGAACACCGGGAATGAGCAGGGATCACACGAACACTGGGAATGAGCAGGGTTCAGAACACTGGGAATGACCATGGATCACCGACACACCAACTGGGAATGACAATGGATCACACGCCAGGAATGACCAGGGATCACTGACACACCAACGGGAACGACAATGGATCAGCACACCAGTAATGACAATGGATCACACACCAGGAATGACAATGGATCACACAAACACCAGGAATGACCATGGATCACACAAACACTGGGAATGACCACAGTGATCCATGATCCATGGGAATGACCATGGATCACACACCGGGAATGACAATGGATCACACAAACACCAGGAATGACCACGGATCACACACCAGGAATGACCATGGATCATCACACACTGACCGGTTACAACCACGGACCATCACACTGGGAATGACCACGGATCACCCATGGGAATCACAGAGCATGGAGCGTGGATCAGCACACACCGACCGGGAATGACCACGGATCACAGAAACACCGGGAATGACCACGGATCACACAAACACCGGGAATGACCACGGATCACTGCACCGGGAAATGACAATGGATCACACACCAGGAATGACCATGGATCACACAAACACCGGGAATGACCATGGATCACACAAACACCGGGAATGACAATGGATCACACACTGGGAATGACCAGGGATCACTGACACAACACCGGGAATGACCACGGATCATTGAAACACCGGGAATGACCATGGATCACACAAACACCGGGAATGACAATGGATCAGCACACTGGGAATGACAATGGATCACTGACAAACCACCAGGAATGACCATGGATCACACACCAGGAATGACAATGGATCACACACCGGGAATGACCGTGGATCACACAAACACCAGGAATGACCATGGATCATCACACGCTGACCGGTTACAACCACGGACCATCACACCGGGAATGACCACGGATCACCCATAGAAATCACAGAGCATGGAGCGTGGATCAGCACACACCGACCGGGAATGACCACGGATCACAGAAACACCGGGAATGACCACGGATCATTGCACCGGGAAATGACAATGGATCACACACCAGGAATGACCATGGATCACACAAACACCGGGAATGACCATGGATCACACAAACACCGGGAATGACAATGGATCACACACTGGGAATGACCAGGGATCACTGACACAACACCGGGAATGACCACAGATCACACACCGGGAATGACCACGGATCACTGACAAACCACTGAGAACGACAATG